CTCACCCCCTTACACATACACGCGCGCGGGCGCAGGCGCGGGGCCATACACGCACAAACACACACCTCGCACAATAGATCTAGCAGCTCGGGTTGTTAAAGTTTAAATACGACGAGGCGGCGCGCAAGCCTTTTTGTAGTGATACGGGTAGGGCGGTGTGCGTGCGTTTGTGCATGCTCGTAAAAAAAACACCGCTTTTCTTTCAAGCGATTCCATAGTGTGGGGTAGTTGGCTCGCTTTGTGAAAATGGGGATTATCGATAGGCACGCCTATTTTTCCTGTTGAGTTTGTCCCAGTGGCGTTTGGGATACCCTGCCCTCCCCCCTCCATTCCTTGCACTCACCCCTCCTCCCATTATTTTACGTCCATGGGTCACACCGCACTTTTGCCTGATGACAAAGCCGTTCATAATATGGGTTTGGAGATTTTTGAGTCACGCTATACTAGTAGGCGATTGGAAAGGAAAAGGGCCACATAATTAAATAAATATTGTTTAGGAACGGAATAGGATAAATATAGCAACACTGAAAAAAGATACGTTTTTTTTTTATAGTAGAGGGTTTTATGGCGTATAAGGTCATATGAGCGCCAAAAAGATAGGTTTATGCTTAGAAGCAGATCGTTGATCGCGTCCACCAAGCTCTTCTCAGCTGCACGCAGAATGGAAGACGTGATTCTAAGTACTGAATGGAGAAGTTTTTTCATCGAGTTCCATCTGTTCGCCGGGGTATTATATTATGTATCGCTCTCAGACCGAGACGCTTCGCTCCAATAATCTTTAAAATGTGTGAAATCTTACCGAAATCAGGCGTTCGTCAGAATAATAAAACCAAAGAAACCGTCTTTTTCCGCCAGTAGGGCAATATTTATCGATTACTTTTTATATCCTCTTATTATGAAACACATTTCTGCGCGGATTTCTTGGAAAAACGTCGACCAAAGGCACACACAAAGTACATTAATTACAATTTTCAAGGATATTCTTGCTTTGGAAGTCACATAACTTTGACGGGCACTTTTTCGTTTAGTTTACATCTGACGCCAGGCGACCCCCACCTTCTTCAATTTCATATATCTCGACTTGTACCCAAGATAGATGTGTATTTTTGTCATCAAAAGAATGACTAATTAACACGCTTTAAAGGTAATACCAATACCTTCATGTCCAAAAATTGACAAGAGCCTGATTCTACCGCTCCGTGAAACAAGGTAGTTTGTAAATTAATAAACTGCACGTCACTTTCCTATTAACATTTTTTTGGGGGTCCCTGCTAGCCTCTTATTGTGCTGAATAGTCTGCTGCCCTAACAGGTCGCCAGTTCGTGGGTGGTTGGAGAGGGGGAGGGGGTGGGGGGGATCATCATCATTGCCTTTCTCACCCTGCACCAGGGTATAGGCCACGGACAAACACCTTCCACCTTTCTCTATCCTGGGCTAGCCTCTTGATGTTATTCCATGTCTTCCCATTTTTCTGTGGGGGCACTGATAACTCCTACTTCTTTCTACTCCCTCTGTTGTTTCTATCAATCTATCTTGCTTTTTCCGTTTTAATAAATGACCCGAGAAGCTGCAGCTGGGTGGAAATATTGAGGGAAAGAAAGGGATGGGAAGATAAAGAACAACATACACAGATGGCCTGAACAACTTAGCAACGATATAACACAAAGAGAAAAATCCCGCACCGAGCTGATCAAGAAGACCGGCAGCTAGAAGGAATGGGGTACCGAGATAGAAATTGTCTGGTCCAGACCTGGCACCTGAAGAAGAAGAAGAAGAAGAAGAAGAAGAAGAAGAAGAAGAAGAAGAAGAAGA